AAAACCACAGTGCCATCCCAAGATCTTTCATAATTCCTGTAATTTACAGAAGGATGGTTTTGTTTTAATATGTTTTTGATAATATTCCTAGAAAAATTAATAAATCTCACAATGTTACCCCTACGTGTTTTCTTCAGGTAAACCAACTCTTCAACATACTGGACCAGTTATATGTGCTAATTATCTGTATGTGACAAAGAATTTACAACTTTGTATAACTGGTTCAGTGGATGGTGATTGTATTATTTGGGCTGCTCGTGGTTCATCAACTTCTCAATCAATCAAACCTATAACTACTGCTACCACTACATATCAACCATTGATACGTTTAACTAATTCAGATATGAAACCAAGATACAGTATAAACAGTATTGTTACACAATCATGGACAATGAATAATGAAGAAAATAAAATAGATTATTTCATTTTTATTGCTTTCGGTTATGAGATTTTAATGTTGCACATACACCTTAATCATGATAGTTTAATTAATAAAACTGATTTGGAAAATAGTTTATTAGAGCTATTTTCAAATGGAAAACAATTGGATATAGATATTGCTGAATTAAATGCATTATGGTCAATTAAAACAATTGATGGTTATGCTGAAATACAAAGGTAACGTTATAATATTTATTGAAATATGCACTTTTTTCTAGAGAAGAGATATATATTGGACTCTATAACTTAAGGGAATAATCCGTTGAATGTTTGAAGTGAAAGGTATTCGATTCAAGACTTAGTGTGAATAGTAACGCCTAGGATGAGGGTGCATCCATCTGACTAATTTTAAATAGGAAAAAAACTCACTTTCCTGATACCACTCCTACCCGCGTCTAGCTATCTAGAGGTTAAGTGGTGGTGCACGAGACTGGAATTCGCAGATTTGTCCCCTGCTTGTGAAGTCGTGGATGCACACATCTGAGGAGTCCCATACTAGAACGAAACAACCGTCCAATGCTTTCAGGTTTTCAATAGTTTTCTAACTTGGGTCAGTTTGTGATTTTAATGATATTCTCAATGTGTCTCACTGTTTCATGAGTGCATACCTGAGACAGATTTTCACAGCTACTTTACTCATTCACTCTCATAGTATTTTTTGTAATTCAAACACGGTGCAAACTATGTTTGTCATTAATATACTTAGAAATAAATATTTATTCACATTTAGACAGCCAGACAATGAGAAATGTTGCTATGGTTTGTGGAATTCAGTCATATTTATTTCTCTCATTTTTAAATTCCAGTTTTCTATAGACTAGAGGGGTGTCAGTCACTTGATAGATATTAATAATAGTACAGAATGCTTGTTTTAATATCCTATAATGCAACGTATAATACTTATTGCTTCGCTGTCGTGGATATTCCGTATCCTTATTGCTTTCCTATTCTTCATCCTTGCTTTATTGAGTACAATCACTTACAATGGTTTGATTCAAGTATGAACTAATAGAGTATATTCAATGAATTCAATTTACTTAATTGTGGCTTCTTTCTTTCATTAGAGTTTTATCTGAAAAAATTAACCATCTTTTTATATTTCGTGCAGACAAACATTGTCTTTTACTTAAAGACATTAAGTTGGATTTTGTTTAATTCAATGTTGAACTCATTGAATGAAGTAGCTTTTATGCAGACATTTTTTTTTAAACCCAGACACTCATTTTTTAAATGTTTCTTTTATATGTTGACATCGAACAGTGACTTAATGAGTGGGAGAATTATTTGTTTTTCAACCGTTGGGTTTGAAATTCAAACATTATTCTAGCAACTTAGCTATAGATGCCCGAGTATTATAACACTAATCCTTACATAAACGTTATGGCTTGATACAAATGTCTTGACTTAATAAATAGGTTACATTTCTCATAGCGAAATGTGGTTATTTGTATCATTTCATTATTTAAAGTGTTTCCATGATCCTTTTATTTTTACTCTAACATGATATTGTGATTTTGTTATCATGTTTCTTTTCTCGATAAAGATTTAAAACAGACCATATCGTTGTCGAAATGTCTGCTTTACATCATGAACCAGTTAATATGAATCAGTGTGGTGTTGTAGCACTTTTGTCCAATGGTGAAATTGTCATTATTCCATTTAAACGTACAGACGATGAACTCATTCACCTTCGTGTTCGAGATAAGTAAGTGGATTTCTTTTCGTTCTATTTTACGTTGTAAATTTTTATCTACATATCAGCATTTTTTTATGCCGCTTATCCATAGATAGCTCATTCGTTTTTAAATATTCACTAATAATCACTTAAATTCCATGCTCATACTTTTGTTTTACATGTTTCACTGTTCATTGACGAAACTTTCTCATTGATGGTGAATCTTTTATCATGAACACACTTTCACTAGCTCAATCTTAACTTGATTTTACATATTAAATATGAGTATGTAGAGTCTTCGAGTTGTGCTAACAGATTCACCCTCTTTCCTCCTCTCGATCATAAGTCATGATAATTCTCCCTATCTAACTTTCCATTCCATCATCTCGAACTACATTCTTTAAGCTTAGTCTTTCTTACTATTATTACTCCTGCCGGCGATTTTAATTTCCTTATTAATTTCATCTGGTTCTACTGCGTTATGGCAATTCAGGGTAACAGATAGATGTTGACTCCATAAGCTGACGAATGATGATACTAATGAAACATAGATCCTTACTAATGTCGTGTATATTTTGTCAACTTAACACGTTTAGAACAACAAGGGTTTATCAACTGTTGGAATACGAGTGTTCCGGAAACAATATTTTGAAAATTTATATGAACAGATAAACCAATTACGAATAAGCGTATGCAGCGGATAAGATAAAGAATTATACAACATACACACACATACATCTATGTAACAGATGTGATAATATCAGAAGGGGTTTGTGGAGATTTTAGTAATTTCAATAGTTGAAATCATGAGTCAATTGAAGCTAGACCGCCATGGAAAACCTGGAAGTACTGGATGGCCGTTTCATCCTCGTATGAAACTCCTCAGCAGTGCGCATCCATGATGTGATAATAGGTCTGTGAAAATATATTGTATACAAGGTTACAAAGTTCTTGAGTAAATTAGAGTTGAAATATTGAATAGTTATCGTGTAGTAAAAACAAAAAAAGAGTAGATAAGTATACATTGTAGGTATTTCAAATGAGTCACTGCAAACACACATTGTTCCATACTGTATTATGAAACTCTTGTGATTCTCGTTAAAGTTCATAGAGAACATTTTTTTATTATTTCAGCTATATAATTTATATCATATTTAGATAATTAATAACGGTAAAATGTACCATTTACTTGAGTGACTAAGTAATCCATTATCTGAAAGAATTCAGCACAGTTTTGTGTTACCATATTATTTAAAAAGTATATTTTCAAAGCAAAAGCAGAAGGAAAGAAAATCAAAGTTCATTCACGATTTGTTGTTGTTGTTGTTGTTTATGTTAGTAACATTATGGAGTTTTCTTTTCTCTCTCTCTAACAGCTAAATGAATCATTCTCATTGACTTATCATCATCATCATCAATCTGTAGTAGTTTTATGTTTGATCTATTTAATAACTGAAATAAAGATCAAATTGATTATTTATTGTGTTGGTTAAGTGTATTTATGTAGCTGATTAGTTTCAGTGTTAGTGAAATTAAACTATGATGTGCGTAATTTCCAAGGTAGAATATAATCGTGAATAGTTAAGTTTCATTAATTTGAATAATTAAACGAACGAATCATAAAGTAACATAAATGATCATCGTCTTTGAAAATTTTAATTTTAAGATGCATCACGAAGTTGTTTACGATATCTTGAAAGCCGTGATATGGCCGAGGGAGAGGAGAGTCATTTCACTCTCTCGAAATGCTCTTACATGACCATGCGTATACAGTCTCTGCTAGGGAAGTCTTACTCATCACTGCCTTTTCGTGGCGACGGTGTTGTTTACCAAATCGAGAGGACAGAAGGCGAATGTCTGGTACTTCAACCGGATTCGTCGATCTTGAGGATCCACCTAGGAAAGTTGGAAAACCCTGATTCCAAACAAATGGTGCACATATGCTCCAGTATCCTGAAGGATTGGACGGTGTACGAACCTATTGTTGGTCGCTGGTTACCATGAGACTGCATCTCCCAAAGTTGTTCCACTACCTTGTGGATTAGATCTTCAAGTGGAAGGCTCGGGATGTGGCCCCCTAAGTAAACCATCTGCTTCGGTTTGGGTGCCCGTGTAGTAGTCTAGCTTTCATATAGATCGAATATGTGGCGCATATATATATGCTAAAATTTTCACTAGCTCCGATTAACATTTTAGGAATTCATATGAAAAATGATTATCGCAATGTAAAGCATTCGTCAGGAAACCTGATGATTTTGGGTTTGATTGCATGATAGAGTTTTAAATAAGTGTTTCTTGTATAACTCTTTACTTGTATAAAAACAAATATTTCCATTGTGTTTGTGTATATTCAACGTGATTTAGGGATTCAATTTAGAATGATGATGAAAGATTGTCACTCAAGTGAATGCTTTCCGAGACTAACTGATTTTAATCATAATGAAAAGTATCAATGTTCACTAAATGTTATTGGTTTGTTGTTTACCATTCTATTACCTTTAGAAATTATTCTTCTTATTTAGAATAATGCATGTTATTAGAATGTATATTGCTACATGATATTTATTTTATTTAGCTGTAATCTTTCAAGTCATTGGTGCAGTTCATTATGTACATATCAGGATGGTATACTTGTAGCACATAATGGATCAGCTTTATTTCATCCGTTTGAGGGTCATAGTGTAAGTGATATTCTATGTATAATACTTATTTCTTTTATAATTATTAATTTAACTAGATTTAATTCAAAATGCACAAATCTATGCTACAACTTATTGTACGAAGAGTTAAGTAATATCGCTTATTACGTAGTTGTTTTAACTCAGTATATAACTTGGTGAATTATATTGTGTTTATGTAAGTGACACGTGTTCTCTACTTTCACAATTCATCTTAGTTAAGACCCAATAGCCGAGTTCATTTAGTAGAATGTCGCGTAGTTTATTACAGAAGAAAATAAACAGTTCTTCAGTACTGAACATTGACGTGTGTACTTAGCAAACTCTGTAAATTTAGCTACTATGTAATGGTATTTCTACATATGTAAATTAGTCTATAAACTCTCAGTAGGATTTACGGTGAAACTATAATTTATGGACGACTTTTGAGCGACGCGAAAGTAACCTTGAGTATATCCACCTACTAACTATCACTAAATGAGGGCTATAAACCAGAGTTCTCATCACAAACTGATATCAGTTAAAATACCAAAACACTATCTAGCCAAATGGATGAATGAATTTCGTGCTACAATCCAAGACCTGTTATCTTATATTTGATTAATTCATCCATAAATATAAAGTCTCTCTTTCTGTTTATTTTCTTTGTTCATCAATGGCCCTGATGGATAGTCAAATGTTTAAGATTTTGCATCTTGTAAAGAGTAAGTCTTAGTGAGCATATCCCGAAAACTATATCCAACAAATACATAGAAATTCGTGAATATATTCAGAGTTGACTTCAACAAGGATACTGATTTGTTTCTAAGAGATTTAATTACTATGTAGTATTTTTAATGCAATGATACTCTTGAAAATACTCCAAGATCATACACATATGTGATAATGTTTTGAATAGAATTCGAACTGGACATCTGGAACCGAACGTCTTTTTTTCTCATACATTTGAATTGTTTTTAGTTTAAGTATAATTATCATTTACACTTACGTATAAAATTTTAGGCAAATGTATTCACACCACTTCGTGGATCTATCAATAATTTGGAAAATATCTATATTGACAGAATTGAACCACTTTGTTTACCTAACGGAAATAGTTTCAAGTTGTAAGTTTCATTTTGTTCTTACAAAAATATATTTACACCATTGTTTTGAACACCTACTAAAACTAATTTATAACATTGATGTGGATGATAAACAATGTAGAGTACCTTTAACAAGTTGTTCCATTTTATACAGTAGTATATCTAGAAGAAAGAAAATGGAAAATTGTGAAACAAATGGATAGAAATATTTGTCATGAACTTACTTCGTAATTAAGCATAAAGAATGTTTTTCAGTAAGAGGTTGTGTAGGCCGTTGAATTTCATTAAAATCATGAACTGATGTAAGTTGGACAATTATTGAAAACCTGGAGGCATCGGACGGCCGTCTCGTCCTAGTATATGTGGACAGTGAAAATAGATGTGACTGACCATTAAGGGTGAATAGATAGATACCTATCTTGTTGACTACTTAATTTTTGGTTTCTTGCCTATTATTGCTTTCTACTTTGGACTCACTGAGTGTGACTGTTAGTCATTGTGTTGAATATAGTGTTGTCCAGCATATGTTCCGATTCTGTATTATTGATTGTGATTTGTATATTTGTTATAACGTGGTATTGTCAGTATACAGCTTAGCAATCGAGTATCCAGACTAGTAGTAGTAAAACCTCGTTCACCGGCCGTATTATGGTGTTAGTGTAATGTAACAGGCTGAAATAGTAAATATTTTTATTCAGCCGTTATATCAGAGAATAATGAATGGAATCAATGGCTTCTTATGACGTTTAAAACTGTATAGAAAAGGTATGCATAATCGTAAGTACAAAAAGCTGAGCCGACAGTAAACCTTGGATCTAGGTTTCATTCTATTCGGCACTGGACTGCAAGGTGTACATTGAATCTTAAAGTAATCGGTGATTCCTGATGTACTCGATCCTCTGTCACTCAGCTTCACAGTCCGAGACGTGTTCATCTATTCCTTCAAGTAATATGACTAAATTTAACTACCATATTTATAGTCTACTATTTATGATTATATATTATGCTGTTCAGTATCCCCAATGTGTGTTGCAGTAGTTGCTCGTTAATACACTGTGTAATAGCTATACACTTGATCTATCATCTTTTCTTTATTATCGACATGCAATACTAAGGTTTATCAGATGAATGAAATAGAGATTTGTGTAGAGTGCGTAAAGGAACCAATTTTTCTTTGTTTATTGTAGATAAAAGAAGGGAGAAAAAAATGACTGAACGTTCTCATTCCAGTTAAATTTCATATTTACACTCAACATTATAATTTGGCAAACTGACTTTATTTGTTTTTTTTTTTATTTTTTGTTCATTTAGATTTTATATTGTAACAAGCAAATTACAATCTGAACCACGGATTATCTTCTTTGATAGTGATGAGCATATGCTATTGAATATTTCGGTGAGTTACTATTGTTTACGCATAAAAGTAGAGCAAAAAGTCCTTTTCAATAGTTACTATGACTTGTTTGAACATAGATTTAAAGTGAACTTTTCATAATTTTAGTAGTTTTCTTAGATGCCTTGTTAATAAGCTATGAGCATAATCACAATGTAATATACAGATTGTAGTAAACAGTGAGTATTATGCATTAGAAATTGATTAACTTAGGTCCAATTAATGTTTGTTTTTTACTACAATTAAAACAAGTTTGGTCATGTTAATATCATGTCATTATGATATTTGAATGAATGTGTAGGTGGGTACATAACCTGATAGTTTTACAATGTGAGAAAGTTCAGTTCATCTGTGTTAATATTATTAGAAATAGATATAATATATAATTATTTTATTCTGAACATTGTTTATGTTACTTAATTGTGGATATAGGGTTATGTAGATTATTGAATTTCATTGAAATCATGAATTGATCCAAGTTAGACAACTATTAAAAACCTAGAAGCACTAGACAACCGTTTCGTTCCAATATGGTACTCCTCAGCAGTGCATATCCACGACTGCGCACGTGGGAGTTGGATCCACTATCTTCTGTCTCACGCGTGAACGCTTAACGTCTGGACCTTGGTGTTAATTTCGTAGATTTGTACTTCTGAGGAGTCCCGTGCTAGGAAGAATTGGCCATCCCGTACATTCAGATCTTCAGTGTCGATCCAACTTAAATCAGCTCATAATTTCAATGAAATTCAACTATCTCCACAACATGATACATATAATGAATCACTTTAAGCTCGTGAATTCAATTTCTGGAGCGATTACTGATGCTTTTCACTAAGAAATCAATCGTCAACCTTTTTAATTTTCAGTGTCACACCAAATGGACTTACTATTTGATGGAAAGTTTATAAAGAGGTATTTTGAATTGTTTATTTCAAATTTTACTGGTCATAAATAATCACATTGTATCTGTGTTTATCCTTAGCTGGAAGGAATGGATCTACAAGTCACTGCTTATTGTATCACTTCAACTCATCTTGATAGTGAAAATTTAATAGTGTATTTATTGTTGGCAACGTCGGATAGCTTTCTACGTTTGTTGAAATGTTCTATCAATGTTTGTAATAAATCGAAATTAAGCAAATGGGAACAGGTAAGAAGTGAATAATCACTGTCCTTATTTCTATCGTATGTTTCGTACTGCAATATGAGTATTTTAATCAAACGGTAGATTCAAAAGCGGCGGGACTATAATTGATGGACGAAATAATCAGATTTAAGATAGAGAGTCTCGAATTTTCGCGTGAAAAGCATTCATCCATTTGGCTAAATAGAGTTTTGGCATTATAGACTATGTCAGTTCGTGATGAAAACCGTAAATCTAATTCCCAACCCTAACCATCAACTGTAAATTATAATCCTGATTCCTCACACTGGTTTATAACCCTCACTTAGTCCTAGTTGGTAAGTGAACATTCTCAAGTTTATTTTAGCATCTCCCAGAGGTCGTCTATAAATTATATTCTCACCGTTTTAAGCATCATAACGTTATCCTTATTCCACAAACATATGATCTTTATATTAAACTTTTTTCTGGGATTTTGACAAAATCATCTATTTGATAGTTAATTTATGTCAACTTGATTAAAAATGTACTTTACACAAATACACACTTGTATTATGGTATTTCAGATAATTTTCCATGGCCAAATTTTAAGCATGTGATAAATTTGTAGTATTTAAAGTAATATACAAGATATGTACTCACCAAAGGGTGAGATAATAACAATACCAATGGAAGATCTCAAAACTTCCTAACTATGATCGTACCTCAATATCTTCACAACTGTTGTGTTTCTATGTGTAGTACATAGCCTCTGGAAGAGGAGGATATATGTGGGTACGTGGGTTACTGGTATGTAATCATAAATATCTTGAGTAACACATAGTGGAACCACCAAGTAGTTTATAATAATTATAGGGCTTGGTTAATAAATTACTATGGTAAGCTATTATGTAAGGTTGTGAACTTTTGTCAACTAAACTGCTCTAAGGGCATGCATTATGCAAATACTTCCATCAGTTGTTACCCAGTATAGTAATTACAGTTACATAAAAATGAGTCAGTTTAAAAATGGCCAATGGTGACTGACTGGTTGTTAATTTTGGCCGTGTTGAGAATTTCACAAATCTCATGACCAATGTTTGAAGTCTTTTAGTTCAGTAACTCAAATCTGGTTACAGCAAATATCATCCTATAAATCCTCATATTTAAATATTACTTTGTACTTTTTACTCTTTAACTGAATTCTTTCTATTGATGGCTATATTCTGTCTATTTAGTTGTTTTTGTTTCATTGATACAACTATTTTGTTCCATCCATTGTTTGACTCGATAAAGTCAAACATTTATTGATGTTCATGAAATGTGGATCTTATGTAATTTGTATACACGATTTGGAAAAATCCCATTAACAAAACTGTAAATGTATGAGGTTAAATATCAAAATTAATCGGAAAACGCATATTTTAGAGATTCATTAATGCAGATTAAAGAAAAGAAACGAAGAGAAATAAAGATAATTTGAAACGGTTGAAATGGACAAGTTAATGAATAAAGGGTGACTAAACATTTATAAGTATGAAACAGTTACCAGCAATTATATAGATACATAAATACTATTATGCACACGTACTCAATATCACATACATAAATGACCGAATGATTGAAAAGATTAGAGCAACTAATCTGTTCAAAAGTCAGAATAAATCACGTAAGCATGGAAACATACTGTATCGTTAAAACTAATTACTAGTGAGAATTTAGTTAAACTCATTGTAAAATATTCCATGAATTTTATACTTTGATGCATACAAACAGGACGAAACAGCCGTCCAATGCTTTCAGGTTTTCAATGGTGGTCCAAAATGGATTCATCCATGATATCAGTCTAAGCTCAACAATCTCCACAACCATTTACAAAGAATGATAAATGCACACACACTTATTGTAAATAACAAATCTTTGAGTGCACACTTATTTACACGACACACATGTACACCATAATACATATTTCAGTGGTGGTACATTGAACAAACAATATTCTGAAGTATCTGTTGGTATAGGTAATATAATAATAATAATATATCACACCTAGCATATTATTACATTGGTTAAAGCCTCCACATCTCTCAACAGAACAAATAAAGAGAATGTGCAAATGTTATAAATTCTTAATTTCAAGTAAAGTACAAATGTGTAGGTGGCATATTTTGGTTTGAATAGTGAACTGCTAATGTAGCTAAAGTTTACGCCGACATAACGTTATCTGAACCAGTTTGACTGCCGACAGAATATCCACTAATTATAAACACCATTATCACACTGTTGAGAATGAAGCTATCTACAAAGTCTGTTTCATCTCTCTCGAAGAATATCTTGGTTAGTCAGAAACTAGCTGTGCAAATAATGACTGGATTAGTATTCAGACTACAGCACAATTAAATGCCATAACTGCTGAAATAGTGTCAGATTTGTTTAGTTGTAAAAGATAAGTTTAAATTAGAATACACCAGTATTAAGTAGAAATGCAAAGATTGAAGTATGATTACAGATGGTATTCGCCACAAGATGTATCTGCATTGATGTAGTTGATTACCCACAAGTAATTAATCTGTGTCGAAATCGTAATGGTTGGTCAATGCTAAAAATAACTTATCAGTATTTCGAATGTGATGATGACTTGAATGGTGGAAGTGTAGAGATGAGAGAAGGATGTGTAGACAATTTACCGTAAGCCAAAATCCAAGTCATACAATTTGATGGAAACGATAATATGTACACCTCATTTAGTTTGAATAATCTCAGAAAAATTCCACTATATCATAAGTGCTAAGATTGGTGCTTAATTTGGACTTTGAATAATATGCTAAAGGTCACATGCATAAGTGACAGAATGACAGAAAACATTAGAATAACTCATCTGTTCAAAAGTCAGAACCAATCACATAGACATGTAACGATATTAACGACAATATACGATTTCCACTTCTTTGACCCTCTTTCTATCAGTTGCTTGTCGCTATTGCTAATGTGTAGTGTGGTGATTTATGTTGATGCATACATTATATCGTTTCTAATATATTCCCCCTTCGTTTTACAGCCTCCTCTTTCTATTCTCGTGATCGATTCTCGGTAAAAAAAACATACATTCAAAGTTTGATTCGATGCATAAATATATTTGACACTTGATCTTTGTGATCCCGAACTTCTCTAAAAATCTGCCTACTCACCATTTTAGAAGTAATAGGTTGCACTTTGTTCAGTGTGTGTGTGTGTTTGTGCGTGCGGGGATGGTGACTGTATGCTTAATTATAGTGGAATATATTTTGTAGAGTGCGATTTCTTTGTTTATTTTAAGTGACTTTTATAATAAACGAATGAAACACCGCCGTGTCTGAATTGTTTTTTTGTGGTTAGCGTTTTTATAGCGAGTTAGTTTTCTACGGGGTTAGGTCGCTAACCCTTCATCCAGCCTTGGGATTGGCAGTAGTCCCAGAGTGGCTCCAGGAGGAGTTAAGAATGACACAAACTGAAAAAACTAGTGGTTTGTCATTTCAGTTGATTTTTAAACATTTTCACATGTTTGTTTCATTTTATCTATTGGGTTAGATCAAAATTTATCCAAGTGGCGAGCATATTACGAAATTGGTCACTTTCGACAAAGATCCTGTGAGGATTATGTGCTGCCTTCAGAATGGTCAGATTGATCTTTACACAATAGAACAGTAGTACTTGTCTTTCAATAATCTCTGTAACCATTACCTGTGATGACGTAATCTATCTTTTTATTCTCATTTTTCTTTATCATGTAACTTGTTTTGTTTAATGTTGTTAATTTAACCGATGAATAAACAAATTGAGAATAAAACCAACTCTTTTGTCAGTAATTACCTCGAAAGAAATGTATTAGCATGGAATGAATCGATTCTCAGTTTTTTTCCGATCATAAGTCTTTCATCACAAACCGACTTAACATCTGCAGAAACTATTATTATGTTTCAAACTAACTTTGGACAACACTTTAGAACTAGGAAGTTAATTAAGAATATCTTCAACCATGACACTTGTTTGCTTTAGCAAACGTGAATTCAGTGTTAACGTGTAATCGGCACATATTCTATGGGTTTTCTCATTAAATTTCAAAGGCGTTGCCATAGGAGTAACTGAGTGTGAAGATTTGACTGCCAGATGTATTCTTTTCTTACATGAATCATTCAATGACTTGTACACTAATTCTCAAAATCGACAAGGGGTTATTCATCTCTTATGAAATACTGGATCACTCTCTCCACTGAACATAACACAGGCAGCTATCACAGTTTTGAGTAAAGCATCAGATTTTTCTTTGGAAGCTAATAACGACAGTTACACTTTAGGCCTTTTCAAATCTACTGTTGACTATTATGTTTCATTTACGTACATCTCTCAAGACACGTATGAAGATCTGTCATCTATAATAAACAATTCAAAACATCCTTGTGTATGCAATTTATAACCATTAATTGCTAATACTGAGAATTCAGTAGATCATATTGCAACATTAGAATTTAAAAGTCTCATGCTTTTGAATGAAATAATGGACTCTAAGCTGCCTATATATGTTGACTCGAAGTATTCAATTCTATGTGCTCCCTAGGAATTCCCGAAATAGCGCGATTTAAGACAGTCAGAACCAGAGGAGAATAAATGAACGCGTCATATTCGGAATTCGTGATCAACGAGCAATCAAGTACAAAGGAATTATTAGTTGGTACAAATACTACATAGGCCACAGCTTAAACTGGAATCTCAACTTTTTTAGTCGTTTGTACTTCTTATGTTCATCGTGTGCCTGTCCGACTGTGTATTTGGATATTTACTCTGAATGATCTAGAGGGTACTCATGAGTATTAGAATTGACAACCGAAAATGTAACAGATTCACATGGTTCGTGGGATTGTATACGATCAACATGCCGGTTGTGTGTACTGAAATAATTTATATCTAGAACCAGAACAACAGATCTTCCAACATTCTTCACCATAATCCCTGTGTCTTGTAGATCATTTCCACGATAATATGTAACTTCTACAGACTCTCAACATCTCACAATCGAACGAAGAATCTTTTCTCTTAATAGCTTTGATGGAGTCTCATCACAGAATGTTTAGCACTTCTATATTGAAGTATAAATATGTCTACTTCTCTCTCCAGTTCATCAAATGTTGAAGCGGCAACGGGATTAATAGCATTTTTCAACGTTCTAATCAAAACATTTTCTATCTGACCATTAGACCAAGAGTGCCTGGGGGTGGTGAATGAATGTCTGCACCTTATACCATTCAACCAGGTGGTGACTGCATCTGTAGCAAAATGAGAGCCATTATTAATCACTAATACCATAGGAACCCCCTCCCGACTAAAATTTTTTATTAATGCTTGAATTGTGAAGTCAGAATATGGTGAAGTTGTGAAAAAACGTCAGGCCATCTAGAAAATTATTCAATAACATGTGCATAGTATTTTCAGGATGACGAATGAACTTGAAAGCGTCATGATTTGTAACAATTGTCTGCATGAATTCACCGTCAGTACTCAGACGATACTGGTCGTGGACTCCACTTCGAAGTATGACTTTTCGACTTATGACGTCTTTCACAATTGTTTGCTGTACGACATATATCTAGATTTATCTCCGACCACCAACATGTGAGTCTTGACAAGGATGTCATTTTCTCAACACCCAAATGTCCACTATTAGCATCTTCAACGACAGATTTATATAGTGGATGAGGAACAACAAGGACATCACTTAATCACAGAATACCATTATGAGTAGTGGATAACTCACCCCGTTTTCAAAAATAGACAGGAAATCTATGTTTTAGACTAGCATTCCAACCTTTTCGTATAGCGATGAGTATACATCGGATGTGTCGATGAATTTCTCTTTTGAGATCTTGATGGCTCAACGGTAGAGGTTGAGCAAATAAAAAGATTACTACATCAACTGGTTTTTCTTGTAATCACTGTAAAGAGGTGCAACCAAAATGTTGAATGTTTGGCACTTCTCTATTGAATCGTATAGTCATAGGCACTCAAACCAATACTCCATCGTTGAACCATAGTAGCTGAGGTACGTGCTAATGATTTTTCAGGATGACGAACGAACTTGGAAGCGTCATGATTTGTAACAATAGTGAACGTCTCTCGAAATAAATATTCATGGCGTCATTTGACAACAAAACACAACTAATGCTTCTCAATGTGTTTGTGAATATCCTTGTTCAGCAACAATAAGTTTGAGTGAAACACAGATAACTGATCTAACATCCTGTTCCAAAACTGCACCAATACTCACTGCTGATGTATCAGTATGAATTACAAAATGTACACTACGAGAGTAAGTGCGAAGAACACCATCACTTGAAAGAACCCTTGGTAGACATCGAAAGCATAACTCATGCTCTTCACTCCATTTAAATGTACTGATATTCCAGAAGATCATATGGATTTATTTGTCTCTTGAGAAAGACTGGATCACCCTGTACTTCAAGTTTCACAGCCTGAATTCTCATCTCTCCACTGCATTTAGGACATATAACTATTTGTGCAACTAATGTACAAACGAACACTATCACAAACACAGTGCTTCCATGCTTTCCATGGTGGTCTAGCTTCAATTGACTCATGATCTCAACTAATGAAATTACTAAAATCTTCACATAGCCCCTTCTGATACTAATTATATATTTTATGTAAGTTTGTTTTCGAAATCTTTCAGCTATTTTGTATAACGGTAATATCATACAATTCATTATTTATTTATTTACTACTATAGCTACCCCCTTAATATCAATCTATACCATTTACGCAATATATTCAAATATGTAATCTTTTCTTTTTATTGTTAACTTATAAATTGTCTTGAATCATTCAATAGTTTTCACATAATTCATTTTAAAGCTACTGAACATATGAGGATATTTTACTGAAGATCTGATTAAGGAGGATATTGTTCACTTACATGTATTTATTGTTCTGAATTATAATGAATTTGATAAACAATCATTGTATGATTGAATATAATTTTAAATGGAAACTAAAATCGGTTAGTGAACTGATTTGTTTGAATTTGACATTTATCAATAGTCCTTACCTTTGCTAGCTTACAGTTGATTGCAATGAGAATAGTGAAACTTATTTGTTAAATATGGGACTAATCGATAACAATTACACGTTCAGCTAGTTGAAGATGCAATACATTATTGTGATTTTTTGAGTAATTGTTTGACTTTCACCTGACCGTTGTTGCTACCTTGACGTGGTGGTCGGGCTTGCCTATCGTGATGAAGCAACCGAGCTATATTGGCCGGAACATATGTTCCTGTAGGTTCTGCCATGCCAGGCAGGTCGGTTGAAGAGCGGTAAGACTAAAAGCAACAAACCCAAGGTCCGAAGGCGAAGTCGTACTTCTGACTGTACAGAGGTGTGACAACAGTAAGGTGTTTCCTTCAGACAACCAGCATGACAGCGATGCTGCCTTCCCACAAGGAGGGTTGGGGTTAGAAAAGGTCGACCCTAAAAATACACACCTCGCCTTATCCCATGGATATCCGTCTCCGGTGGTAAGGTCTCAGCAAGTACGGAGCTAACACAAAAATAACTCATAAAAAGGTCGTGTGTGACCGACCTCAAGCAGTTGTCCCTTGGGCACTGCGGTCACGCTCCCAGGTCACTAAGACCACTTCTAATCCGATTTCCTTTTCAGGTGCCTCCAGAAGAACCCTTCCACGGTATGGGCAACCAGTAATTGATAACCGCCCTCACACCTCTCAAGACCACTGCTTGACTTTCAACCCTCATGATCACTGTGATAATGGTTACCCACTTGAGTTTGAAAAATCCACCTGAACTTTAATCGGTTGTGATAAAATTTCCTTTTACTGAGATCATGAACCAATCATTTTTAGACCACCACCATCGAAAACCTGGAAGCATTGGTTGGCCGTTTCATCCTAGTACGGGACTCCTCGGAAGTGAAAACACCCATCTCGTGTACAAGGGACTCGAACCCAAGATCTTCGGTCTCGCGAGCGGACGCTTAACATCTAGACCACTGAGCCGGTATCCAATAGTGTTAAGGACTAACTTCAATCAATCCAGTCAGTCAGTCATCTACAACGTAGGACCAGGCACATATGTGCATCGGTCCAAGTTGCCATACCTCATTAGCAAAACAAGATGAACACTGGATTCAGAGAAGTAGTTCATTCAGTGGTGGTAATATATAACAGAAAGATTGCATATAAGGACATAGTACAGGACGAAAGAAAGATATGAAGCAATTTTAATCTCTTAGTTTTAGGGAAGATAGAAAGTGTATACACCGACGTCATTGTGATCGATCCTGAGCCATATCACCAAGAATCGCCAGCCATTGGTTACGATAGTCACACGGACCCCAACCAAGTAGTCTGCATCTACCAACATGGCTCAGACCAGAAGTTAGTGACTTCAAGCACCGATGCCACGTTTTGTTTTGACTGCCCCTAACTTTCTTCCAACCATCCCCTACACTAGTCATCTTTCCCTAATACCCTACGTCTAACCTCTCTATTACTTATACGGTGATCCCAGCAGATGCGAGCAATATTTCCAAGACATATGTGGTCAAATACTAGCAGCTTACAAATATCTTCCCTTAATGGGCACGTTTCACCGCCGTAAAGTAGAACAGAACGAACTGCCGAGCAGTATACTCGTCCCTTAATTGATAGACGGACATCTCGTCTTCGCCATAGGTGACGTAAGTTAGTAGAAGCTAAACGAGCTTTTCGAATCCGTGCTGAGATTTCGTCAGACACCAACTCATTAGGGCTGATCAGACTTCCAAGATAAGTCAAGTTGTTAAAGCGTTCGACTGCTTCACTCCTTATCCTTATTTCAGATGTTGACGCAGGCCAGTCCTGAAGCAACGACTTGCATGCATCTACTGTATT